CCCTCCCCTCCCCTCTGTCCAGCAGTGTTGGGTAGGGGGCAGTTTCAGCCAGCTAAGACATACTGCCTTGAGTCATGTAATTGTCCACAGCTACCTGCAGCACAAGCATTTGTTTCTGATAAGCCATCTGAAAGCTTTGGTATGTATATTGTAAGAGGGGGACACGTTCTCCCCTCCCTCCTGCTGCAAAGATGCATTTTGAAACAGTTGACTTATCAGTAGAGGTAAGAGGTGAATGGCACGAGAGGGACTGCAAAGGAGTCATTCTCATTACAGGGGAATAGGTGAACATTAGTGTCTAAAAATGTTAGCTCCCAACTGTCAGGAATCTATGGAATGCAGACCTGTTAGCTGCTTTGACACGATTTTAAGACGTGTTCGATTTTAAGACGTGTTCGTTAAATGATGATGAGCCCCTATGCTTTCCTTCAGCCTCATTTCAGCTCTTGCGAAATGCAGCTAGAGAGAAGTTTGATGCAACTCGCCTTCTCTCACAAGTTGGGTCTTGCAAAATGGCCGCTGTATTTGTTGTTTTTGATTCTTGGAAAGCAAGATGGCTGGAATCATTAACCCAGGTGTACCTGTGGGTATGTGTGCATCTGCATACCTGAAAGGGAAGGGTGAGAGGCAGTCAGTTTCCTGGCACCTTTTGGATCGCATCTTCATAGTTCTTAAGAGGTGAGTTGACCTCTGCAGCCTTACACAGGTTTGACACGTCTGCAGTGAAAAGTCCCTGCTTGGTCACCTACCCGGTTTGGCTCATCAGTGCTTGAAATGGAGCCTGTAACGTTCACACTGTTGTGTTAGCCAAGTCTTTTCCCTAAATGTGAGTGTGCCGCAGGTGGTGAGACATAGTTTGTCCCTGTAGATTGGCTTCTGTCATGGGCTTATAAACAAATAGAATTATTCATCTCAAGAATAATGTTGCAAGTTCAGAGGAAATAGTTCTGTAGTTGCCCTTTGCCTCATTCTGCTCAGTCTTTGATGCTGGGAAGAAGGACAACTTTCCACCTTCAGCCACACGTAGGCAAATAAATAAATACCCCACTGGTGGAAGATTCCAGTAGGAATTTTTAAGTGTATTGCTAGAGAATTATGCCATGTTTTAGCTAAACGGCCTTGGAAGATTTAGAGGCTGTTGGGAGGTGGAACAGACATTTACTTTAGTCACTTGAGTCTTTCTGTTTGCTTATATATTCATTTAACGTGTTCATTTTGCCTGAGTTCATTTTGTTTGCTCCACTTCTGGTCCATTTCCTGTCTTGCACTTTTCTCTGCTAAATCCTGGCTGTTCTGTGCAGTGGCATAAGACTAATGTGTTAAATACTTAATACTGTTAATTGATTCAATAGGAAGGGAAAAAATGGAGATCTGGAGATTGCCTGAAGCTGTGGTCAGGATCCGCTCACTGTGGCACATTGCTGATGAATTGTGCCAAGGCTGCAAGGTGGGCCTGGAGACCAGGATTGGAGGCTGTGGTCAAGACCAAATGGTTTGCACAGGTGGGTCACCTGGCAGGGATTGGGAGCAGAAGGATGGGGTGGGGGGCTCAGGCAAGGCAGCCATGGGGTGCTTTCTCTGGGGATAGGACCACAGATGTCACACCTCAACCGTTCACACCAGGTGAGCAGGGCGGTGCTTCTCCTGCACCCCATGGCCCCTGCTGGTCCCCTCTCCTGCCAGACCAGGCACCTGGCGCTTGTTCCCAGGCTGCCCAGTTCTGTGCCTGTTTGTTCTATGCACCCTGCCTATGACGGAAGATTAGTGCTAATCTTGGCAAACGCCACTATTATTTGTATTATGTCATTGTTATGTTATTTTACTGTATTCTACAGCTACTTTTTATTCCCATTATAATGTTGGTTGTATGTGTTTTCTGGCCTAAAAGTTATAATAAAGGTTTGTTGTTGGTGGTTCCTGTGTGCTGATTTTCCAAAGGCTACTGGTTTTCCATATGGATGTAAATTTGTGTCACCTTTTGTATGGCACCCCATCCCATTTTGTGACTGTACCCAGCTGGCAGGTATTTGGCAAGAGTGCTTTGCCTTGGTCCATGCCATCTAATGCCACGAAGCTCTGGTGCTGCTGTGTGAAAAGGAGAGGGACGCTAACCCCAGAGCTCGCCTCCCTGGATGTTGCCTTGACAAAGGTGGCGAAGCTGAGGGAGAAACAAGCTGCTGTGAAAAGTCGTGTTTCTGTGTGCGTGTGCATGTGCGTGAAGGAGACAGATGGGTTGGTTGGTTTCTCAGGAGAAGTAGGTTTTCATACACTCAGCAGTGCCAAGAGGGCATTTTTTCCTCTCTGTGTAGAAATCGTGCTATAGCACTAGGGGTAGATTTATTGTGGAATAAATTTCCTTGGGCTGGAGACCACTTAGTCAGATCTGTGCACCAGTTGGCCAAGGAGGCTTTACATATCCAGTCTTTGCTCTTTTTGATAGAGTTGCATGCTTATGTTTCTCATTTCATTTGTGGGATTTATATCCCATATTTCTGCCACTTAGAACACGGTGCATGGCCAAAATTTCCACTTTATTCCTGCTGTATTTTATACCCTAGTCTCCAAATTGCATGTAAATGTACACATTCTGGCATCCCCTTTTATGGTTCTGGTTTCTTGGAGTGGATATGAAATCCCCCCTCTGCACTTGCCGTATTTTCTCTTGATTCCGTAGCTGCTACCAAGGCCTGGGAATGAGCACACCTTCTGCTGATCTACAGAAGGTTCCTGGGCATAATTTATAATAATGTGTTTTGGAAGGTGAGGCGCTGCATAGCGCTGTATGCCTGAAGAAGGGGTAACAGCCACACCACCACCCTTTTATGAAACCAGTCGGAAAGAAGCCTTCTCCGTGCTACTCACGAAGTAAGCGCCTTGGCAGAAGGTGCGAAAATGCCTGGACGGGTGGCTCCTTGTCTGCTCCTGGTTCCACCTGGTAAAGTCTTAAACCTTTTAGAGGTGAAGCATTCTGAGGTGCTGCTATAAACCGAAATGCCTTTTTCCCTGATCTTTTGTATTCTCACTTGGGGAAATCAATAAAGGGGTTAATCATGGCTGGAAACTGTTCAAACTGTGCTGGGCCCTGAGAAGCTGTGGTGACATGCCAGAAAGCAACTTATGGTGATGAATGATGATGATGATGATGATTTTTTTTAAAAAAACCATGTTGGAACCAGTGAAGCGTGCGAGGATAAGAGGAAGCATCTGTGCAGGACGGCAGAAGAATAAAATCCTTCAGCTTTTCGTGGATTCCTGTCGCTGCACGTCTCAAATTAACTTTTTTGGGTTACCCTTCCAATTTAATTTCTGGCCAGAGCTGCCTGTTTCCTGCCTCCCACGGGAATGCTGACGAACTTCTTAAGGGAAAAAAAGAGAGCCCCAGACTGGTCCGGGTCTCCTCTTTTGCCCTTGCCTTGGCAGAATATATAAATGTTTGAGCTGCTTTGGAATTCCTTTAATGCTGCAGGTTAATCAAATATATTTTGAAAATAGTGCTTCTGCTGCAAAATGTTTTGAGGAGATGATGCATACAAGCACAATTCAAGGATACTTAACATATTTCTCAACGCAGGTAATGCAATATTCCTTACCGCACTTTGAAAGTAATCTGTAGAGAGATCTGATATGAAGATGCACAAAAGGTTACTTGAATGAAGACAGGAACTAAAGCATCAAACTGAATAGAAAAAAGGTATTGTGCAAGCAGTATTGCTCTTTGCCATTCATTATTGCAATTATAATTATGCGACTCAAACATATTTAATTGGCATAAGATATTTTTTACAGTGAATAGGTCTCATTGTTTTCTCTGGGGAAAACACCCACCCCCTTCCGCTTCACCATGGTGTGTGCGTGTCTCTCATGGGCTCAAGAGCCCCTTTGTTTACCTGTAAAGAGATTAATGGAATTACGATTCTTGTAAGGTAGCATTGGCAGCATGGATCAAGTGAAGAAAAGCTTCTTTGGATCCTCCTTTTCAAAGAGATTCTTTGTGGAGCATTCACATTCATCCCTACTTGAGTGTCTCTGCAGAACTGGATGCATTCATGAGATACCAGATCAGTGGAGGAAAATTGTGCCACCAGACCTTCTTCAAAAGAAGATTCCACACTGGGGTATTCTTTGTGTTAGATAAGGGATAGGTTTTGAGGACCATATGCTGCCTTGGTCCATTTGGGGATCTGGGAGATGAGAAACCAAGGAGGGTGAATAGAGACCAGGACTAGGTCCTCCATGGTGCTCTTACCAATCCCTGGAATGCTTGTTCTGCCTGAATACAACTTTTTTCCTTCCCAGCATCTTACAAGGAGAGGAGTGTCTTAACTCTGACATTTAGGACAAACCATTGAGGAGCAAGTTGGGGTTTGTCATTAAGAGGAGTCCTCTCTTTACATTGTTAGTGGCAGGGTTACATGGCATAAAAGCATGCTATGGGGATGAATGAAATCATGTTAGACACAATTCATTCTAAAGATAGATTTTCAATTTAACAATATCATACAATCCTTACATTTTGTAAATAATTTGGTTACCAGTTGATGAGTACTATTGGTAGCCAGATACACCAATTTCTCTATTTATATACTAGAAAATTGCAAATTGAGCTTTGCTAGTTTCAGCAAGCCTATTTCAGAGATCTGCTAGAAGAGGCAAGAAGCATTATTATGACAACATCTGTAAAGGCATCAAAGATGGAAACAGACACAGAAAAGTAGAAGACTTCTGAACTCAGAAGGAGCCAATAGAGGTGAATATGTGTAGCTCAGGGTTGAACTGTGGAGTCCTGGGGTTCTCTGAGCTCAGAGAACCCCAAGGTCTCCACTCAGAAGGAGATTAGAACCTCACACTGGTATGCTAAAGGATACCAATAGACAGATAGTAACTGATTCAAAGAAGATCAGGGAAAGATGGAAGGGGTGCACTGAAATTCTGTACATTAGAGATTTCAGCATCCAAGATTCCTTAGAAGATATTCCCTATTTACAAGAACCTCTAGTACCAGAAGATGATGTTAGATCAGCAGCCTGGTGATTATCAAGTTAGAAGACTACAGGGTTTGATAGATTATCTACAGAATTATGACATACAACAGAATAAGAATCAGTAATGGTTCTAACCAAACTATGCCAGCAAATCTGGAGAACAGCACAGTGGCCCACAGATTGGAAGAGGTCAGTCTACATACCAATATAAAGAAAGGAGGCTAAACAGAATATGCAAACTGTTGCACAATATTTTTAATTTACATGTTGGCAAAAAATGCTTAGGATCATCCACTGCAGATTAGAATCATGCATGGAAAGGGAGATGCCAGATCTTCAAGCTTATTTTGGAAAAAGATGAGGAACATGAGATAATTGAGAAGGCCAAAGAATATCAAAAATAAGCCAATATGTGCTTCATCAATTATAGAAAGGCTTTGATTGTGTTAACCACGTCAGGCTGTGGAATATCTTTAGGAAAATGGGAATCCCAGAATATTTCATTTGTCCTTGTGAGAAATCTGTACCCAGGACAGAAAGCCACAGTCCAGATAGAACAGGGTGAATCTGACTGGCTCCAGGTCGGCAAAGGAGCAAGACAAGGCTGTATACTCTCCCTCTATTCAATTTATATGCTGGATAGAAAGAAGATGAGCATGGCTTTAAATTTGGAGGAAGAAACATCAATAACCTGTGCTGTACTGATGACGCTACTCTTGGTAGTGGAAATTCTGGAAATTCTAGTAATAAAAGTAAAGAAGCACTGTAAAAAAATGGGAGTCTATAACGCTGGGAAAGATGGAAGGAAAGAGAAGAAGAAGCTTAGTTATGGTGGCAATGGGTGCACCGTTGGAAGACCTGAAAGACCAGCTTAGGGGCAGATTGTCATGGAGAAAATCAGTTTATGTGGTTGCTAAGAGTCAACACCAATTTAATGGCACAGTCAATTTTATTGTTTAAGAAATAGATTCCCGTTGTGCTTAAAACTGAATCTGTAGTGCCTATACCTGCTTGTGTAAGAAAGAAGCACTTGGACAGCAGCTCTTGTCTTGGGTTTTGTCTGTTCCAGAATGCCCCATTAAGCTAATGGAAAGACTGGCCTTCAAGCAGAGAGGTGAGGTTGACTAAGCATCCCTCGGCCATGCGCGTTCCTTGTCTCCTATTGCAGACTCTGGTCAGAGTGTTTTGAATTGGAGGTTGCCCAAAGCAGAACTTGTTTGGGGCTATCTGGGGCACCAGACTTGTCCAGTCACAGTCCAGGGGAGTCTCTTTTCCTTAGCTCAGTGCTCTATAGTGCCTGACTGCTGTTGGATGCCAACGGTTCCTGGTTCAATTTCTTGCTGGAATGAATTCCTCACAAATACGGATAATTCTTCATTGGATGTTTAGTCAGTTGGATACCTCGCTGTATTCTTCACTGTCCACATCAAGTCTTTGCCATTTTTTATTTATCCTTGCCGGAACGTGGTTATTCATTAGATTTTTTTTTATTAGAGTTATGGTTGAAGTGGCACTTTCAT